TTCACACATATACATTGTCATGATCTTTAATATTTTTAATAAATAAATTTTTTATTTTATTTTTCAATTACTTATCATGCATATACATTGTTATAATCCTTATGCCAAACGATTTTGAATGCCAATTAATATATTTTATTAATATTCAACAAAGATTCGTCTATACACTAAATAAAAGTTCTATACACTATATTTACTATTCTAATCCCACATGTTCGACGCTCTTCTTTCATTCATATTTCAACATTACCCTTTCTCAACGTGCAAAAGCAAGACAAATTAATAATTAAAAAAAATTTCAGTACTTAATATTTACAGATTCAATATTTCATATCTTCATCCATTGCTAGAATTATATGTACTTGTTGATTGTCCACTAAGTGTAGATTTCAGCCTTTTCGTTAAAGTACACCCTATTCAAAGGCGAAATAAAATGCTTCTCATTAACTTCTGAATTACTTCGCGGATTACTGAATTACTTTTACAGTTTATAAAATAAGACGTAAACTTTCTAATTCTGCTTGTCTTACCCTCTAGGAATTCGTATTCGTGGCTCAGAATTCAATCTCGTGACAAAAAATCGTTACTTTAATAGGACTTCCTTATGATAAGATGATCTGCAAAAATCAGCCAATCATAATAAAGCCCGCTATGCTATGTAATGTAAAATTGTAATTTAGCACAACCCTACACCCGATCAATGGTTACTACTATATACAAATAAAAAATGCTTTGATACAAAAATATACTACAATATAATATTAATTTAACTAAACTACTATAATTAAGTCCTAATAATAATAAGACAATAACTAAAATATGAAAAGACTTGGTTTAGTTAATTAGAGTATTAGACTATATTATAGATTTTTTAATATAAAATCACAATATTTCGTTAATAATTACTATCATTAGTACAGATTTTACTTATTAGAGAAGGAAATTAGTAGAATTAAATGATTATCAATATTGAACTCTGACAAAGTTATTTTTCATTTAAAATAAAAGGTTCACTTATATAGTAATAAGATAATAAAAATAACAGAAATAACAGAATAATGAATAATAAGATATCAGAAATACTAAGAATCCTAATATATATATTACATTAGTAAAAATCGTACGTATGTTCGATTAGTATTGGCTTTGAAAATTCTGTAAATCTGGAAATTTCGTGAATTTCTCGAGATAAGGTGATCTGCGCCTGTTCACACCTTTTTGAAAACAGCTGTAACATGGAAATATTTGATATCTCAGGGATTTTCAGGATTCTTAAGGTTCTTGGAATTTCTATAATTTCGAAATTTCCAGAATCTGTACTACATTTTGAACCGTAATAATTTCGGGAAGGGGTAATTTACACTTTCACAACGTACATGACACATATATGTACTATCTGATATATATGTTGTACCCTAAATAATAATCTAGTCCCGATTATTAATTGGAACAGCCCAAATAAAAATTGGCCAGATCTAACCCTAACGTCTAGGCTAAATTAATTTGCTTTTTGGCCAGATTGGTATTTAGGAAAATTGGCATTTGGGGTACGACATATGTTATACATGTGAAACAATTGTCGATCCTACTAATCTACCCTTAAATTTAAGACATGTGAATATCATGGATTAGCACGATGGAGCTGACGTCACGGCACACCGTTGAATATCTGATATATTTCCGATTAAATTTTTAATGATGATGTAATGCCGTAGAATAATTTATATTTTCACGACAGTACGTCATCAAAATATTATCAGAAATGTTCATGGGCGAACATTAGGTGCCTTAGAATATTTTATAGTTATTGCATACGGGAACATGCAATAACGGTTTTATTTAATGATTTATTATCTCAGTTTATGAAATATGATCAATAATTTTATCGCATAAAAATACTATAAAATAATTGATTTATTTTATAGACTGACCATAGTAAAGCATTGAATAAAAAAATTATTTTATGAACTCTAATATTGTTTTTAACTATTTTTATTTATAAATAATGCTAATTTTTAATTTATGATAAAAAATATATACCGACTTTTTAAAAATATATAACAATAATTATATTCATCATTTACCTACCAATTTGATTTAAAAATAAAGACATAAGGCACAATAACAACTCTATTAATTATTTAGCATGTTTATACGTAATGATGAATTTTTGCCAAGAAAAAAAATATACTACATCATAATTAACTTTAAACCTATAAAATATAATTTAAAAATTTAATATTTAGGTAAAAGGGTCAATGGGGACGAAATTTTGTAATTTTATAAACATGTATTTCTATTGACTTAATTCTTCAAAAAAGATAATTAAAATAAAAAGAATTTTTTTTGGCTGATTGCCGCCTTTTGCTTTGAAGTGTTCATCATGCGATAAGTTTCTCCTAAGTATTCTAACGAAAACGCATCATTTGGATTAATTTCTAATGATCTGTTTAAATCCGTCAGTGAATCTTCATATCTGTTCATCAAGCGATAAGTTACTCCACGGTACTTTAATGCTCTTGCATTATTTGGACTAATTTCTAATGATTTGTTTAAATCTGCTAGAGATTCTTTGTATCTGTTTATCATGCGATAAGTTGCTCCACGAAAGCTTAACGCTTCTGCATCATTTGGATTAATTTCTAAAGATTTATTTAGATCTGATAATGATTCATTGTATTTGTTCAATACTCGGTAAGTTGCTCCGCGAAACATTAATGCAAATGCATCATTTGGATTAACCTCTAATGATTGATTTAAATCTTTTAGTGATTCATCGTATTTATTTAACATATAATAAGTTGCCCCACGCTGCTTTAATGCAAATGAATCATTTGGATCAGTTTTCAATATCCTTGTTAAATCTGCTAGTGATTCTTCGTTTCTACCCATCTTGCAATAAGTTACTCCACGCTGCTTTAATGCTTCTGTATTATATGGATTAATTCCTAATGATTTATTTAAATCCGCCAGTGATTCATTATATTTGTTCATTATGCGATAAGTTGTTCCACGGGTTGCTAATGCAAATGAATTATTTGGATTAATTTCTAATGATTTATTTAAATCCGCGAGTGATTCTTCATATTTATTCATAAGGAGATAAGTTGTTCCACGGTCTGCTAATGCATCTGCATTATTTGGACTAATTTCTAATGATTTATTTAAATCTGCTAACGATTCTTCATATTTGTTCATCAAACGGTAAGTTACTCCACACTGCCTTAAAACTTCCGCACTATTTGGATTAATTTCTAAGGATTTATTTAAATCTACTAGCGCTTCATCATATTTTTCTAACTTATAGCACTCTATTACACGATCTTTTGATATTTCTGTATTACTCGGATTATTATGATAAACCGGAACCATTCGTATATTATTTAATCTTTCATAGATTTCAGCAATACTAGGACGTAAATTTGGATTACCATTCCAAGCATCGCAATAAATGTTCATAAAGTCAACCGGTGTTCCATTAATAGGTGTTTCTCTTTTACCATTAATTACATGTAAAGCTATTTCTGTTTGATCAGATACATTTTTAAATGGGGGTAAACCACTTGATAACTCCCAGAAAAGTATCCCGAGACTATAGATATCAGAAGCTTTTTCTCGTTTATATAAAAATGGATTTTGGAGATATTGTGGATCGGAAAAAGTATATGTTCCTCCAGCAATAGATTTTGTGCTATTATCTAATGATTTAGATAAGCCAAAGTCCGTAATCAATAATCTGCCATCATGCACTAATATATTCCTATCATGCTAAAAAATAATGTCAATATGATATCTGAAATAATAAAAGAGAGATAAATTAAACAGAAAAGGTATCTTACAAGATCACGATGAACGATATTTGCATTGTGTAAACAATTAATTCCACTAGAAATTTCTTTTGCCATTCTAATTTTAGTTGTCCAATCTAATTTTGAAAAATGCTTTTCTAAATAGCAGCGGAGATCGCCATTATTAGCGAGCTCAAGAATCAAATAGTATGTTTTGGATTTCGGATCTAATTTACTCAAAATTATTAGTTAACTATAATGTTCATTCTTATATTATATAATTTTAATATACCTTGTGTTATTCCGAAGAATTTTACTACATTATCGTGTGAAACTTTAGTAAGACTTTTAATCTTATAGTGTAAATATAAATAAAGATGTAAATAAAGATGCAAACAAGCGAAAATAAAATATAAATGATATTATAGAACGATAAATACTTCTTGTTTAGGTCCATTTGACGAATTATCGTCATCATTGCATTGTAAACTTTTTAAAGCTACATGTTTTTTAGTATTTTTTGAATAAGCACTATATACAGCGCCAAACCCTCCTCTACCGATCATTTTTAAATCCCGAAAAGAATCATATTTGAAAACTTTAACAAACTTTTGTTCAATAGCATCTTTAATATAATGTGGCATGTTTAGTATACCTTATATTTTAAGAGAATATAAATTTGCTTGCAAGGAAATTTATTAAACAAAGTTATTTACCAAGCGAAAAAAACAATTATATTTGTACTCTAACCATAAAAAAAGAACCATTTAGCGTTAGAGCCATTGACATTCGCCATACTATCTGTCGCGAATCTTATTTACACCGATGATTAATGACTAATATAAGACAGATTATCTTAATTACGTGCGTACGTACGTAGTTCACATCCAGAAAACGTGTGCACTATGAAAGTAGAAATTAGCAATTGGTATGCATTAACCTAATTAGGCGACGATCTTCAAAATTCTAATTTTAGCCAGTGTTACCCCTGAGGGTTGTGCCACTCCATTTAATATTTATGTCATAATCACGAGTACTGACATTGCGGACATCTTAGGGGATTTACTTATTTGTGCCGGTAATACAATCCAAAAAAGGAAATTTGATTTTATAAATAAACAAAGTGCGTAAA